GACAAGTGCCCATTGCTTATTTCGCTTCTATTCATTCCTGAATAATATTATGGTGTACGATGACAAACGTGTACAGAAAATCCGTGTCATATATACTTTTATTCACCCAAATTACGTATTTGAGTAAGTTATTTTCTTTTCATAAGAAATGTGAATTTTATTACACAAAAATCAATTTTAAAATAACAATATTTTAGTACCGACGAACACGACATAGCTATTTTGTTATTGGAAGAGGAAGTAGACACGAACGAATATGTACAGATAGTGAATTTGCCTAAATTCGACGAAACTGTTGACAGCAATGGGAATATCACCCTAATGGGCTACCGACGTCAACCTTCAGGTGGTCCTAGATTAAACGCTTATGATGTTCAAGTTATAGAAAACGACTTTTGTGAGCAAAAATTTAACAAAACCTATCAAACTAGTAATTTATCACGTGGATCGATATTTTGTCTGACTGAATTTGAAAACAATACGGTAAAAATTAAATTCATGAATTTTAATGTTTTGGCGGAAAAATTACCTTGCAAATTTAAGTTTGAAAACGGTATTCTCTCAGTTTTCATCGGAAAAACATTTTCAGGCATTTGTGTGACTGCATAAAAGCAGCGAAATACAATTTCTGAGGGTATTGTTTAAAAATATAATGAAGTTTTCCAAGCAACGGGTAAAATTATTGGTTTCTGTAGCTTGACTTGTCAAAATCATTCCAAAACGTTTAAACAAAGAAACATTAACACAGGAGTCATAAAAGAGTCGATATCTGACATGTAGACATAATTTTGGCACTGCCGAAAAATTATACTCGTCGATGTTCCAAATATTATTTCTACTAATGTCACACTTGTGTACTTTGGGCCTAGCCACAGACAGTTTTATTTTTTTTCGTTTAGCCAGTACGAATATAAAGATGAAGGGATCGTTGTTTCGTTAAATGTAAAATTTCACGTGTTTTTTTTAATATGCTAATGAGTTTTGGGGAGTGTCTGTCTATATATATATATATATGTGTGTGTGTGTGTGTGTGTGTGTGTGTGTGTGTGTGTGTGGATGATGAATTAAAAGAAAATAAAGTGTCAGAGTTACCAGTCATACTCTAATCTTTGATCTTCCCTTCGACTCGGACGTTCGATATATAATACGTAAAAAACTGTACTATTGAGAAAGTATTATAATAGTACTATAAGAGAAAAGAAAAGTATACGATTTTCATGCAACAAAGATTATGGGATAAAAAGAAAAAATAAAGTGTTCCTTCCTTTTTAGATTATAATTTTTTTCAAAGAAAACATCCTTTTCAAATTAAATTTCTGGGTACTATTTTTTTCTATCAAAACAACTATCGGTTTTCTGCAAATATATTTAAAATCATTATCCACATTTACACATTCTTTAACATTTTTAAGGTACATCATGGTGACATTTTTTTTCAAAATTTTAGAGGCCAGATTATGCTATTTGGACTTTCCACTAAAAATAAAATCATTAACACTAGGTTTTCATCCAATGACGTCAATTGGATTGAAGGAACAATTAATAACGGAACAGCCTTGGAAGAGCAAAAACTAGGTAAGTATCTACTGAGGACAAGTTTTGAAATAATTTGTAAGCCAATACAAATGAAAGGGTGTATTAATCATAGATATTAAATCTCCTAATGTACAGAGCAGTCTTTCCTGATCAATCATTTTTTTAAAACTGATAAAACATTGATTTAATGGCTTATAAAATTTTACTTTTGTTTAGTTGTTTGGGCTTATCCTGGGTTTACTCTGATGAGCAATCAGTTTTCTTACTACGTACTTATCAAAGCCTTGCCAAGTAGTGGTGTTGGTCACTTGGAGGCTTGTCACGGTGCACTACTTAAAGACAATTTGGTGTTGGCAAATGCTCATTGTTTTTGTTGGTTGCAAATGTCTGCATTATATTATAATAATAAGGATGCTGGTTTTCGTTTGTACTTCAGTGGTGGTGAGCAAATAGTTAACGTCAAAAATGCTTTTATTCACAGCAGCTTCGAGTCTGCGTAAGTATTTTATTTAGAGTTAAATGTGACTTTAAATCGTGGCATAACTAAAAGTCATTATATTTTTCAGTAACAACTTAAATAGCATAGCTATTGTGAGATTAAATGAAAGAGTGAACATCCATAAATACGTGGATCTTGATTACTTGGATAACATCAATGAAAATACAAGTGTCACAGTTATCAGCAATAAGCTTGAATACGGATACTACGTACAAACATCTTGCAAAGCTCAAATTATTGAAAATTATGAATGTAAGAGCCAGTTACTGATGATATTCCCTGAGCCTGGTACAGAGTATGATTCTTTTTTCTGTATCATAATCGCCAAAACACCATCTTCTGTAGTAAGTGTTATGTTTTGTTTAACAAAAGTATTGATGTTGCTCAAATTAACTAAAAATTGTTCATATTTTCCAGATGAGGCACGGCGGCATTGTTGTCCGAGAAGATGGTAACAAGACTGTACTAATTGGATTTACTTTAAATTTTCCTCCTGAAAAATTCTATGGTGTATATATAGCAACTAAAGTGAATTACTATTTAAATTGGATTAATGCTACGATCGACAGTAGTTTGACCTAAGAAAACATTTTAAAATTGCTTTAGGAAAGATGTGTAGAAGATGTGTATTTGTATTGAAATTTAATATTTAAATATTAAGTCACAATAACTATTATAACATATTCTTTGACAACTGTCAATAAAGGTAAAAAATGATTTTGTATCTAGTAGAGTACAAAAACATTTTTCGATGTTACATCTACTTGAGATAAATATTTGACGCCCTAAATATATTATCAGTAAGCTGATTGTTATTATAGTATTAAAATAATAACTTTATCAGTGCCAGATTAAAAGTTTAAAAAATAAGTTCAACAAATAAAATATTGTTCTATGTGATGACAACGTAAAAAGGCTGGACTACTACCTTTCACCTATATTACTTTCATTTAAAATAATATGGTTCTTATGTGCCAAAAACCTCAAAACAGAAAATAAAGCAGTTTTTTACAGCTTCCCAGGTTACAATCTACCAAGGCATAATTTAAAAGCTTTGATTACATTCCTAATAGCTTCTAAAAAAATACTTTGTTGTCTTTGTTGGATGAACTTAATAAGGTGTGGAGCAAATCGATTAAAACAACGTAAACAAAACAAAAATTTCTTTAGGTTGATTGGTCCATTTTAAACAAAAAATACCTCTTGCTTTTTTTTCGTAAAATGCTTAGATTGTTCAGAAAAAAAAAAAAAGATAGAAAAATCACTGAATTTGATGAATTCTCGGTACGCGTTATTCTTTCGACGACAATTTCGGGATATAATTTATGTTTAGTTTAGTTGAGGAGTATTTAGTCAATGTTGTTAAAAAAAATAGTGATTGTAAAACATTTGACGAGCTTCGCATGTGGTCATACCAAAGTGGATGCACCTTGATAGAAAATCTACCTCCAACAAGCGCTTCTGTGAAATTGCATATTTTAAGATGTATCTACATAGTTTACAATCAAACGCATTGTTTGAATGCCAGTGCAACGTATTTAGATCCCAAACTTAAATTATATCCCGAAATTGTCGTCGAAAGAATAACGCGTACCGAGAATTCATCAAATTCAGTGATTTTTCTATCTTTTTTATTTTTTTCTGAACAATCTAAGCATTTTACGAAAAAATTGCAAGAGGTATTTTTTGTTTAAAATGGACCAATCAACCTAAAGAAATTTTTTTTAGGTCGGAAACGTAAAATTTTTTTATTTGTTCATGTAAATTGTTAATAACAATCGACTCTGGACTTTTTCGGGCTGGCACCCAACAGCATCGTGTTCNTTTTTTTTTTTTTTTTTTTTTTTTTTTTTTTTTTTTTTTTTTTTTGTTTTCTGTAAGATCTTGAAAACTTGTTCATTTGGCATTGAAAAGATTTTTTTAATTTTCACTTTCAGTATTTATTCATTATTTACAAAGTTGTTATTTCCATTTACTAAATGGTAAATCTACTATTATTAAACAATAATTCATGAATTTATGTTTACATTTTTTTTATCAAGCTTGGGGTGTGTACAGTTAAGCAGAATAAGTTCCAAAACAAATCCCAAAAAATGATTAATCTATCTTATAAGCTTAAATTAACTGAGCTAACACCAATTGTATAAAAAAAATCTGGAATAATATAACTTCGTGACACTACATACACATAAACTAAAAGTAATTCAATTTTAATTGTATAGAAGAAATTGATGTATTCCCAAAGAAGTGCTAATTTATTTATTTTTTTATTTATTTTTTTTTAAATCTATAAGATATTTGTATCAAAAAATTTTTGTTTCATATCTTGTCAGAAATTATAATTTAAACATTAAAGATTATCATTTTTTAAATTTGTTTACTGTTAATACATTGTAAGTTAGAGATTTATTTGTTTTTGCTGATAAGATGCAAAAGAAAGAAATAAAATAACAATATTCACATCGCTTAAAGGAGACAACAATTATTTTACTCTGATGCCTGAACTTATATTTTTTTGTTAGTGGATGCCAAAATTAATATCTATTTATTGTGTATTTACATATTGTTCGTGTTGTTCTATCTTATAGAATAATTTAAATAATTTTTTTTTATGACAATCTTTTTAATAGTGATAATACTAGATAATAAATAAAGATATTCGTCATTAGTATGTAGCATTGTAAGAACAATAATAAAGTGGTCAATGAAAACAAGTTTTACATTAGATAATTTTTAAATTATTTTAATACAATGACGGATCAAAAAAATACGAGTTACAAGCTTCATTACTTTTTTAACTTTCTTACTCTTACAGTCCTAATTACATAATTATCGCACGTTTCCACTGAATTATTTACAAAATATTTGAGGGTTGCGAGAAGAAAATTAAGTAAAAGAATATATATGAAGTCGATACGTCTAAAAGTGGTGGGGTTGTCATTTAAAGTTGTTTTGTTCCCCACTTTCAATTGTTCAACTGGTACTTCTTCAGAGAAATTGAGCTGTTGGTCGAAGCCTTGGTTAGCACAGCTTCACCGATGTTACTTAACGTACCATTGGCCGTACTTGTGTTCAACTGCAAGTTTGATTTCTGAGGAAAAATTAAATTGTCATTAGTGTATGATTACTTAAAGTTTCAGCAATTAAATGAGATGGTACTGTTTGCATCAATCGACAGATCGTATAACAAAAAAAATACATCCATACATACAAGTCAGATTTAGCTTTTAGCAGAGGGCCATCGTAATCACCGTTAAGATTTTACAAGGAATATGTTCCTTATGTACAGAAAGTCAGATAACTCTTAAAAAATATTTCTAAGTTGGTTCGACATAGTTTGTGAAAGAAGTTTATTTGGTTTGCGTTAAGAGAATTTTTTTAAAATTTAACGATTTTGCACTCTCAGACAAAGTCTCAAAAGTTAGTAATTTTTTATTGTAATCTTTACAGAATCTCCTTAACTACTTGTATAAATATATACAGATGTATTTTAATCATCACTGAATTATTAAATAAATAAAGAAGTAATATCCTTGCAAAATAAGTCAACCCCTTGCCTTAAAATTCGTGTCAACTAAACTAATCGTCTAAAGTATTGGACACTGATTTGAAGGTACTGTGACATACCAGGATGTCTTTCAGAGATAACAACGAAAAAAATAATTCTGATGGACTTGATACCCGTTCACGAGATGAGTTTAATTAACGACAAGATTATGCCTACGCTTAAGGTGTCCACAGTCTTCCACGACCACATGGATGATTCATGATTTCCCATGATTATAATGTGTACCAACGTAAGTCTAGCACGGATGAAAGCTGATGTAAGATATGTTTTGTGTGAAATAGCAGTGGTAAATAAAGGGTTGATGTACCACAAAGAAGATTTCGAGTCTCGTATTAAAGCTGATAAAATGAGCTTCGACGTACAACATATACTGCAAATACTCGTACTACTTACGATGGTAATCGAACGTTGCTCAAAGCAAGGCTCCATTGTAGATTTGTTTTTATTTTTCTGGACGAGGATTAGCTGCTCCTTGCACTCCTTATGATTCGAACTTCCGTTTATCTTTATTGGTGACATGGTATTTTCGTTGTCAGTCGATTTTCCGCTATCCGGTGATGACAATAGTACGTGCCTGTCCAAATCTTCATCCTCTTCAGTCAATTCATCTACACCTTTGTTATCCTGAAATCAGGGAGAGTAAACGAAACTGAGAATGGAATGGGCACAGCGTTCATCTTTTGACTGCAACTTCAACCGGTCAGATTCGCAATTACATAAAATATTAGAATCCCATGTACGTATTGAACTAGATCATTGTCAGTTCTTCAGTCAATACTTGTACAATGTGCAATACAAACCTGATCCTGCATCCTGAACGACAGCGATGGTTCTTTGTTGTTCTGGCTCGGACTCCGGGACGAGTGATTTGTTTCAGATATTTTGCTGATCTCGTAGATGTTGATCATGTGGGCTGCCTGGGCGTGGACCATCAACTCCCACGCGGACGGGAAGGGATCTTTGCAGAAGACGCACAGCAATGAGACCCTTGAGTTTTCTGTTCTGGGTGAGTGGAGAGGGTTGGGGGTTGGAATACGATGAATTAATATTTTCTTTTTTTTTTTTTTTTTTTTTTTGAAATCTTGCGATTTAAATTGAAGAGAGAAAATTAAATAGAAATGGACGTGTACGTACTGGGAGTGGTACCGTTAAACGTGTGGCATTTGCAGGTGAACCGCTGCTTGCAGTGATCCCGTTTATGCTCGAGCAGCTCCCCGAGATTCGTGAACATTTCCCGGCAGTTGCCGCAAATTAGTATGTCCGGATTGCCTGCGCAACGAGAAAAAAAAATATAACGAAACTCGTAGAACACGTTCCTCTCTTCTCCCTTTTTTTTGCGGCGTTTTATTTCTCCATTTGCCTCATCCACCCACCTTGTTAACCAGGGCATATTACACACGTTTTAACCACATTGCAAAAAATTATGCTTCAATCATATTCGGTTCGACGGGCATAAGTGTGGATGAGAGAGGATTTTCATGCGTGGCTGATCCTGTATCTTTTGTCTTTTTTTTCTCGGGTTAACGAAACCACGATTAAATGAATCTGATCGTAACCATGGAAATAATAATGGTGGAATTTATTAGACTGTCATTTTTTTGAAGCTCACAAACAATAATGCAAAATTATTTCGAAAAGTTATAAGTTAACTTAATACAGAATGTATCGCCACACAATAAACAATTTTTCAAAGTTGAATTGTATTCTGAGGACGATAATTTCATGCATGAACCACCTTCATATGGTACGTACAACCTTCATGATGTGGATACCAAATAAAAGACTATATTACAAGTAGAACATATTATTTACATCTTATATTTCATGCTTACCTAACCGAAATTTTCTCACTTTTTTAAGCATCTGTATGGCACGAAGTGTACGTAATTAAAAAGGGTAAAAATTACCAGGACTTACTGTAAACTTTTAATTGGTCCAAGTCCTGAAGTCCAGCGATGTTTGTCGTCACTTTTTGCCGTTTTGGTTGCTGTTGCTGCTGTTGCGGCCGTGAGGGTACGAGTCGGGCTCTTTTGAGCGGAGGCACAAGACGAAGCGGGAAAGCTGTGGACGTGTAGTAGCTGTAAGATAGAGGCAAAGTGGGCGCGTTAATATTACTGCGTCGAGGTTTATTATAGATTATTTGCATACGTGTGTGTGTGTGGCTGCAACTTTAGTGTTCTAGGTACTGAGTAATTATTGCTACAACTGCTCGAGTAGTTTCAAAGATTTGAGGACCTGTTTAGTGGTTATACAATATATATATGTCTGATGGGATTCTCCATACATTGTCAAAACATATTATGTACTTGCAGTGCAGATAAGTACGCAGGTTGTGTTGATAACATAAACTTGGTGGTTGTTTAGTTTAGTTTTCTTGGACAAAGGACTATACTCTACAGATGCTTGTTCGATGAGTATGTCGAATAAATGTGAAAAGGACATTCAACTAACTATTTTGGACAAAGTGCATGTGCACAATATACGTCATAACTTTCAACAAAATTACTATTTAGATTTACGGTGTATGGAGAACCGTAGACGAAGATTCCACAAAAATCATGTGTTTCGAACATATGTACATGACTAAAAAAGGTATTGGACAGTGGTGTCAGTGAAGCCAAAAGAAGCAAATGCATTGTCACTTTGTTAACTGTTTTACTGTTGGCAATGTAATTTTTACTATTCTAGACAGTAATTTCTATAGTGTAAACAGTAAAAATTAATTAATTAATAATACAATTATGATATAATTATCATTCTACATTTTTTTTACGAACTGAAAAATTAAATCTCATACATTTTTCAGTTTTAATGTTACACAACAATAGAATAATCGATGTTACAACCTTTGTTTATTGCCTGTTAAATTTTGTGAATATGTATACTAATATTCACAAAATTTTAACTGGTTTATTCAGTTACTTTTGTAAGTTTCGCTTTAAATGTAATAACAGTTAATTGATATTCAATTCAGATTTTTATTACAGAGTGTATAATCCTGGTGCTTTAAAGCTTTTACCGCTCTGATGAAAATTTTTCATGTTTAAGGAAGAAAGGATTGATCCCTACCACCAAGAAGAGATAGCTCACGATAAATTGTTTGATAATAACAGAAAAATATGTATTATAATAACTAAACCAGACTTCAGATTATCGTTATCAAAACAGTTCTGGTATGATTTTGGCCGCTTATATATGAGTTTTATCGATTTGTTAGAGCTGTGAAATTACATATTATGTATTGGCTGAGTGTAATAATTTACAAAAATACATAGCATGTACAGAATTTTCAAAGGTTTTTTTTATTTCTCTCACTAGAGTTAATTTAAGTATGTCCCTTTGAACGCCATTGGACATCGTCAAACAGGACATGCACTCGAGGGCTTCTCCGCTTTTTTTATTCCACTCAACCGTATGGATTCTCTTCTAATGTTAGCTGTTCCTGTTACCCATTCGTTTATTTTCTCACTTTATTCTTTAAGGATTTACTCAATTACAGTATTAGCTGCTACTCATCGATTTAGTCAGAAGTTTTCTCTGGAATTTTATTATTCTTTTTCTCTGATTTCAGAAGAGCAAAAGCGACTTCTATAAAACTGGTTTCGGTTATACGTACTTCAATTATTTTTTAGAATTTTTTTTTTATAACCAATAAATTGTAGCGTAGAATTAAATAGTGTTTTTATTTTACTTGAAAAAACAAAAGAAAAGTTCCAAAGCGTAACGATTTACGCTCTACATGAGGCGATTTCTCGACAAATCGTTCCGTAATTGCATTGCATAAGAAAATAATGGACCAAAGTTTAGTCTTAAACAATGAGGTAGGGAGAAGGGGGGAGGTGTTTCGGATGCAGCTGTAGGTGGGATTGCTGACTCATTCCTTTTAAAAGTCATTGGTTTGAGCAAAGTAACGGAAGGCCAAAAGAGAAAAAAGAATTAAGCTCCGAGGGGTGAGAATCCCGAGGGTTGGGGAGGGAAAGAGGGATAGTCGATTTTTTCCTCGCGGCAAGAAGTGTCCGGACGATGGTACAAGGAAAGTACAACAGGGGGGGGGAGGATAAGACGAATGGGAAGCGGAGGAAGGAGAGACGTGGAGCGGATTGTAGGTATACGTGATGTATAGGAGACATGCAATTGTCTTCCTCTATATATGATTGTGCCAATGTTGCGGATACGGCATCACCCCCGTCCTCCTTTTTCCACGATCGAACCCATCCACTTTGTCTTACACTCTCTCTTTTTCGCTTCTGTGAAAAGCTTTTTCCTTTTCCATCATTCCTTATATTTTTAGGGTTTTGCCCTTCAAAAGTTTGGAAAGACGAAATTGCACAGGGAAAAATTTAAATTGCCACTGTACATTCCTATCCATGGAAGGAAGAGAGGAGATTCATTATAGTATACTGCTTGATTTTTTTCAAGCAAAAGTAGAGAGGGTTACTCGAATCGCGCGCGAGTGAAGCTCTCCTGAGAGAGAATTGGATTTTAATAATTAAAACTGATTGCTATAGAAAGAGAGGGAGAGGAGAGAAAGAGACAAACGGGATTGTAAAGAATTTGTACGAGAAAGAGATTATTTGTTAGGCTTTTTCAATAAATTTATTTCAAATACCAATGACTTAACAAAGAAGAACTTTTATTTCTTTCGATGAATTAATTTTCGTCGAAACTTTGCACATCGAACGCCGCGGGTCATATCTCTGCAGCCGACCTGTCTATCTTGATACTAACATTTTATCCGTTCGATATTCACATGGTGAAAAAAACAGCGCAATTTACCTTAAAATAGAAAATGAATGCGCTCAAGTGTGAAAAATACGTCAGAAAAAAATACCATCAAGTCTGGATGTACGGACACATCATTATTAAAATTTATTTGTCACTTTTACGTTAATCCGCGGATGGAGAAGAGCAGTACTTGAGTGATGGCATTGAAGTTTGAGCAAATAAAACACAAATTACGCGTCACGATATTCATGGTCTTTCTCTGCGTTTTACGCTATGCTTCCATCACTTCTTTTTACGACTCGACGGATACGTCATTTCGCTGGACTGGTGATGCGCCTTTTGCTTCGAAGAGAATAAGAAGAGACAGACAGGCAATATGTTTTTTGCACGTGTGAATTTGTACTTTTACGGCGCGTAAGCTTAGTATTCATGGAGGAAGATTAAAGCTTAACTCGTACTTTATCAGTCCCCGGAGGGCCGTGTTTTATTTGGTGGACTATCGATCGATGGATTTGTTTGGGGGATCGTGAGCTTTGGATGGGACAAGTTTTTTTCCCCTTCATACATTTGTCTTTTAATAATCCCGTGGAATTTTTCAATCTACAATTTTCGATTTATACAAAAGTGTTGATTTAGTGCAAGTAAGCTGACATCATGTATTATTTAAAGCTATATATTATAGCCGAAGCTTCCCAGTAACCTATTGTAAGAAAACTTTCTACTTCAAAGTCTCTTAAAAAAAGGCTTTTTTCTAAAAAATTTATCGCTGTATTATTTTTTATAAGCCGTTTAAATTTTTTGTAGTATAAAAATCGCAACTCTTAAAAATTGTTCTGGTCGGAGTAATTTATTCGTAGTGTTACAACAAAAACTCTTACAATTTTGAAAGATTTTGCGAAAAAAAGTAACCGTTGTCCTGAAATAGGTACTGCTACCAAATTGTTATTCTAACTAAAGATTTTTCGCGCAATGACCACGTCTGTTAAAAAAAATAGGTAAGGTTAACAGAAAAATAAAAGTCTGACAAAAGAGCTACCAGCAGCACGCACGAGCGAGCAAGGGAGGAAAAAGCAAACGGGAGAAGCGAATTTTCTTCAAACTGACAACTCTGGAAAATAGAATTCAGATGGAAAAGAGAGAAAGGGAGGGGGGGGGGGTGCGCGCAAATAGTCGTCGTCCGGATATTAAAACGTATATCACTCGAATGGGGATACAAGACCCTAACTATTCCCATACCCTTTTTCCCGGCAATCTTATACCAATCCCTTTCTTTTTTTTCCTCTCAATGCGTAGTGGTAAAAGCTGAGCTGAAAATGAGAAAGGATCGGTCATTGGGATGGTATTTGGATTCGAAAAAAAAATCTGCCGGACTGATAGCGGAGTTGGAGTGAGAACATATTAAGTAGTCTCTGAACTGCTTGATGCAGGGCGTTCTGGTAAATCCCTGCTGGAAAGTCAATTGGAGGTAGGGTTGAGAGAACCAATTCATCGATGTCCAGTGAATCCTAGGAACGGGGAAATGTTTTGATTTCCAAAGAACAATTACACATTTTAGCACCTGTACAGAGTCAGCCAATGATACGCGTTATCACCATGGAGTTGGATGATGGAAAAAAAGTTGCGCGTCAATCGCTCGACTCGACCCACCGAGAAATCGAGGCACGATTTGTTTCAACATACTACACCACTGTGCAGAGATAAACAGCAGCAACGAGCAAGTAAGGCAAATTTTTGCGAAACCAATTACTTGCACCCTCGGCTCCAGTCCTATTCACACTTTGCTTGGAGCAATAACGGAAGCGCTCCTTTTGCCCTACAAACGAGAGCGAGGCTAAAAAAAAAAAAAGGAAGCGACAATGCCAATGGAGCGTAAAAATGGAAATTGGAAGACGAGGTGCGCTAATTGCCGATCTCGCGGCAATCAGTCGCGAGAAGGAAGTGGGAATGTTTGTCCCACGCTCGTGTACGTACACAAAGTAGGGGAGCAATTACGCCTAGGCGTTGTCGTTTGTCTTTGTGTGCATCGACCGAATTGGCGTACGGGTGAGGAAAAGGGCGGTAGGCGGGTCGACGACAATGCTTCGAAGGGTGTTGGTGCGGGGATCGACTTTCCGTGGCATTCCCTTTCAATTATCCTGCAGGCGATTGCGTTTTTAATTTGCCCCGACAGATTGATGTATTGTGTCCTGGTGGCTTTTTTCCAGGAAATAGGAGAGACATTTGCGAATGGGGACTCGAAACAATTTAATTCTAACTTATTGGGGATTACACTGGATTTTTTACTCTTGTGGCACCAAATATTTTAAAACGCAAATGATACAAAAAAAGGGGGAAAAAAATTACGAGGGTGTGA